GGAAAAAAAAAAAAAAAAAAAAAAAAAAAAAAAAAAAAAAGTCTGTTCTCGACCCAGCGGCCATGGTGATCCCATAAAAACATACGTCAATTGTGTGGCTCCTCTGTCACAACCCTCCTGTGTCCCCACTTCACAGTAGTAGCCAGCCTGGACCTCATGGCCCTGCACAACCTGGCTTCCCAGGACCTCTGTCCTCTGCTCCTCCCTCTGGCCCTGCTCGGGCCTCTCCAGCCACTCAGCGTTTCTACTGCTGTCCCCAGGTCCTGCCTTGGGCCTCTCTCTATGCCTGGAAGTCAGCCTCGCTTGTCCCCTTCCCCCTCTGTGTTAGAATGGCAGATCCGTGAGAGCAGGGGTTCATCTGTTTACCCCTTGCTGAATCCCTACCTGTGGAGTGTGGACACAGCATGCACCGATGACTGGCTTCTTTGATCGGGTACTGGGCCATCTCCTGAGGGTGAATCATTAGGGCCTCTGTACAACTGGGGTCATCACATCCAGCTGGCTGGTGGTTGCGAGGGTGAAAGCAGGTCAGGTAGAGCACCCAGCACCATGCCTGGCTGAGGACACCTTCATACACAGTGCTGCCATTCACTCGCTCATTCATTCATCCGTCCGTCCGTCCATCCGTCTGTTCGTCCGTCCGTCCATCCATCCATCCAGCCAGCCAGCCAGCCAGCCAGCCAGCCAGCCACACAATCACCATCTACTGAGCCTACGTGCTGCGGACTGTACTAGGTTTTGGGGAAATGCAGTGGCACATGTACACAGAGCCCTTGGCTCAAGGAAAGAAGGAAGCCCTTTCCTTCCTTGTCCTTGTGGTGAGATTCCAGACTGGAGTTAGCTCTTATCAGTGAACTGAAGCAGCAGCACTGTGGCCTAATAGTGGAAACACAGGCTCTTAAGCCAGACTGCCTGGGTTCAGATACCTACTTATGCTCTGTTTTCTCTACAAGAGACCTTGTAGCCTAACCACAGCACACCCATAAAAGGGCCCCTGGTAGTACCCTCCTCATCAAAGGACGCTAGAAAGGGGCCGAATGATGGTGCCCTCGTCCTCTGGTTGTGAGGGTTAACCGAGTGACTGTGGGGCAGGCATTTAGACAGTGGCCGGCACTCTCAGTTGTGTGTTTGCAGTGACAAGGTGGATGGGGGTGAGGTTAAAGAACCTACTGGAACAGACACTGGCCAAGGAAGGTCAATGTGGCCTTGCTGGATCTAACCATATTCCACCCGCCAGCCAGGCCCTGCTGGCAGGAGCCCATGGCTGGGGGTTAATAGCCTGGGTGGCTCTGCTGGTGTGGCTGGTCCCCAGGTTGCCATGGTGTGAGCCCAGCAGCAGCTTGTCAGGTCTCGCAGTGCTGGCTCCCACGTGCCAGCCACCTTCCTGGCAGACGCTGGCCCATGAAACAGGCTCTGGTGGCCCTGGAGCAATCCCGGCTGAGTTTGCCAAATGCACAGCAGCCTCTGCCTGTGACCACTCTGTGGGGGATGCCAGGCAGCTCAGCTCCATGCGGAGAACAGAAAAGTGCTGTAGTGGTGCCTTCCCTTTCTCCGAAGGACACCCCTGTCCCCACATCCCCCGTGATGACTTGGAGGTAGGCCCGGGAGCAAATCCCCGCTGTGCCACTAACTATTTGGATGAGCTTGGCAAGTTGTGTCAACTCTGAGCCTCAGTTTCTCATCTGCAAAATGAAGCTAGTAATAGGTGGTAGCAGCGGGTGTGGGGCAGGTGAGCCAATCTTGAAGGTATCAAAAGAAGCTTCTGGCTACATCTTGGTAAAAGGTGGCAGAAGCTGCAGTTAGATCTAGATTTAGATTACTCTGGGCTGAAGGGAGAAACATAGGACCCTGTGACAGAAGGGACCATCAGAAAGTCCCCATCACCTGGCTGAGGCTTATCAGTCCCTGTGTTCTGGAGAGCAGGCTGGTGTCCGTGGGCCCCTCCTGACACTGCCACAGCCACTGCCCAAGTATCTGGTGGATTATTGATGGCAGGGGGGCAGCTTAGACCACTGATTCCTAGCCAGGTGATTCTGACCCCTCGGGACATATGGCAGTGTCTGAAGAAATATCTTCACCACTGTGGTGGGGGGCAGGGCAGGCATGCTTCTGGCATCCAGTGGGTGGAGGTCAGGGATGCTGTGACACATCCCACAGTGCATGGGACAGCCCCCCATGGCAGGGAATTACCCAGCCACGTCAATAGCGGTAAGGTGGAGGAAGGCTGTATGTACCCTCCCCACTTCCCGTGAGCACAGCACATTTCCATGCATTAACTGTCTTATCTCTGCAGCAATGCCATTATGTCGAGCAAAACCCTGGGCCAGCATAAAGTAAGGATCGAGGGAGCTGTCTGGTTTCTCAGGCTGCCTTCACAGCTATCTGTGTGTGACGTTAAGCTAACCTCTTTTAGACTCTTACTTCCTCTTTCCTGCTGCCTGAAGCTGGTTTGGGTCCAGTATTAGAATTCTGGCCACTGTGAGAAACAGGCATGAGCGATGCTGTGAGCTGTGCGTTGATTGTCCTTGGCTAAAACAAGCACATGTATGAAATGTGCCAAATCCTGGGTAAATTCTCCCAGCGGGGGCTGAGGAGTGCAGGCTCCTCTCCTCTCATTTTGGCAACTGAACATGTGCACTGTTCTTGCTCGTGCCCAGAAAGGGCCCATCCTTGGTGTGGGGGGACCTGGCTTGTATGTCCAGTTCAGACGAGATGCCCCTTGGAGCTCATCTACAGGGGCATGGAACAGCAGGAGGTGTGGGCAGTGGTTCCCAGGGCTGGCCGCACATTGGAATTGTGTGGGGAGCTTGACAAATACACACCAAAACGGAGAACAGATCAGTGGTTCCGGGGGAAGGAGGGGGTGGAGTGTGGGTACAGAATGACAACAGGAGGGATCCTCGTGGCGACAGGACTATTCTGTATCTTCTCTGTGGAGGTGGCTGCACGAACCTACGCATGTGATCAGATCGCATGGAACTAAATACACACACAAATGAGTACGAGTACAGTGGGGAATCTGAACAAGATGGGTGTATTGTGTCAACGTCAATATCCTGGTTGTGATGTTGTACTGGAGTTTTGCAAAATGTTGCCATTGGGAGAAATGGGGTAAAGGGTACTCGGGATCTCTCTTATTATTTCTTACAACTGCATGTGAATCTAGGATGATCTCAAAATAAAAGGGTTAATTTGTAAAAAGTACACTTGCCAATGCCTGGCCTCACCCTGCCCCAGCCCCAGGGATTCTGATTTAATTGGTCTGGGGTGGAGCCTGGGCTTGGGAATGTTTTTGAGCTCCCCAGGTGAGTCCAATGGGCAGCCATGGCTGAGAGCCATTAGCAACTTTGGCTCCAGGGTGGACAGGGTTGGATGGGCCTTGTCCAGGCAGACCTACAGGCTGCTGGATCCTTCCAGGTCTGATGCCCTGTGACAATCATCCACTTTCACTGGCATTTTCCTCCCAGAGAGCAGAGAGGGGTCTAGACTCAACATCACATGGGGCCATCAATGACCCCCAAGTCACTTGCATCTCCAGGACTGCAGGCTCTGTGGTCTGGCCTGGCAGGGAGACAGTTGAGGGGCCAGACTCAGACCAGGCCTGACTCCTGGGCCAACCTATAAAACAGGCCCTTCTGGGCCAGCAGCTGGGCTGGACTGCCGCTCTCTGCCACCTGTCCCTCGTCCATGACCAGCACCCTGCGGGGGAGAGGGAGACAAGGCTGCTTTTTGGACCCCAGCCCAGGCACTTAGTAGCTCTGGGATCCCAGCATATCTGCCCCAAGGTTTGCCGCCCAGGAGTCTGATTTTCCTTGTAGCTTCCTGACCTTGACAGCCACATTGGAAGTATCTGCTGGGCATGGGTCCTAGGCATCCCTTCCCCTCTGACCCCTGTGGGCAGGGAGTGCACCTGACACCTTCCAGCTGCGGGAGGGCGCTTTACCTGGTGCAGCCCATCACTGAGCTGAGGCGGTGTGCGATGAGCAGGACTGTGCACTGCTCAAACCAGCTCCCAAGGGCGCCCTGCATCTGGAGCTCCGTCCCTGGGTCCACAGCAGCTGTGGCCTCGTCCAGGATGAGGATCCGGGTTTTCCGGAGTAGGGCACGTGCCAGACACAGGAGCTGCTTCTGACCCACGCTGGGAATGAGTGGGACAATCAGGTCAGAGATACATTTGCCTGTATGTCACAATTTATAGGACATCCCCACAAATGGGTACTGGGACAGCTGTAGAAGTGGGGTGCCAGCGTGGCTGCACATCCCCACACTTGGGGTCTGTAGTCTACAGAGCTCAGGGGAATCCTCATCTGGTTGTCTTTGAGCAGGATGGCTTTAGGCAAGCAAGTCATTCAACCCATTTGTGCCTTAGTTTCTCCACTTGTGAAATGGCTATTTTCTATTTCCAATCATGGCTATTTCTGTTTCTCTTCTGTGGTCCTTGTCATCTGTCAGACCCATTCTAAGTGCTAGGGTATATATTGACTCCAGTCTCGTAAGGACCACAAACGTAGATATTGTTCTCTCCTTTTGCCAGAGGGGGAAACAGATGCAGAGAGGTTAAGTGGCTTGCCCAAGGTCACAGTGTTAGTGGTAGAGTCAGAATTTGAACCTAGGACCTCTGATTCCAGAGCGTGCCCCTAATAGGTCCTTCTTCACTTAGTTGTGAAGATGAGAAAAATCATATAAAACTGTGTGTGCTAGTTGCAGAGTAACCCCTTGGCATGAAGTAACTTCTCTTACTTTGATGACAGATGGGGAAGTTGAGGTCCAAGATCATGCAGCCAGTAAGACCCCTGACCCAGATGGGAACTGGCCCCTGGGGACCCAGTGTGGCAGGGGCTGTTTCCTGCCACACTCTGCTTCCTCTCACAGCAGAACCTTCCATGTAGAAGCGTTTCTTCAGGGAACCAGAACCTACTATGGCCATGCAAACATCAGGGTGCCTGGGCCCTGCTCCAGCCTCACCACTTAACAAGCTGGGCAATCCTGAGCAAGTCTCAGGCCTCAGATTCCTACTCTGTGACATGGGATTAGTGAGAGTGTGGCTCTGAGGATTAAAATATTTATTGCTTCCTGTATGCCAGACATTGTTTCAACAATTTTACTCACATGACTCACTTAATCCTCACATAGGTAGCTGGGTACGATTAGCCCCATTTTACAGATGAGGAAACTGAAGCACGGGAGATTGAGTAACTCTCCCAAGATCCTACAACTGTTTTGAGCCCAGGCAGTCTGGCACCTGTTTATGCACTAACCCACCAAGCTACACTGCCTCCTTTGTGCTGGAACCCATTACCTTCTATAGTCCCTTCTCTGAACACCCCAGGACCAGATGGATTTACAAATCCAGAACGTCTCAATTTTTAAAAAGGCATACACCTGTACACCTATGTTCATAAAAGCATTATGCACAATAGGCAAAAGGTGGAAGCAACCAGATGTCCACTGGCAGATGAATGGATAAACAAAATGTAGTCCATCCATACAATGGAATATTTTTCATCCTTAAAAAGGAAGGAAATTCTGCCACGTGCTACAACATGGATGATCGAGGACATCATGCTAAGTGAGATAAGCCAGGTCCCAAAAGACAAATACCGTATGATTCCATTCATAAGAAGTATCTAGAGCAGTCAAACTCATAGAGACAGAAAGTAGAATGGTGGGGAGCAGGGGCTGGCGGAGGGGTAAATGAGGAGTTAGTGTTTAACAGAGACAGTTTCAGTTTTGCAAGATTAAAAGAGTTCTGGAGATCTATTGTACAACAATGTGAGTGTGCTTAACTCTACTGAACCATGCACTTAAAAATGATTAAGATAAATTTTATGTATATTTTGCCATACTTAAAAAAATTTTTTAAAAAGGCATACACCAACAGCCCAAGTGGGTGTGGGGTTAGCGTCCAATATCAAACACATTTTTTTTATGTAGTGAAATAATACTGAGGGGAATAAATAATGACTGTAAGTAGCCTCATGTCAGTTGAGGTTGGGTTTTGCCACCAAATAAATTTAGGAAGCTAATTTAAGAAAAAGAAACTTGGTATCCAGAGACCGTGCTTGAGTTTAGAACTGCAGATAAGGGATGGATAGGATGTATGATTATTAATAGAATAGGGTGGATAATCTCATGGCGGGAAGCAGACTTCCTGAGGTCCCATTCAATGCCCTGGGGGGAGCCTGGACATTCTCACTTCCACCCCAGCTCCCTACAGGTCCTGGCTATGGAGGGGTGACCATACCTCAGGTCGTCACCTTGGTCGGCACATTCATACTGCAGCTGGCCGGGCAGGCTGGCCACCAAGGCTCTGAGCTGCACTGTCTCCAAGGCTGCCCAGATGGCTTCATCCGTGTGTTCATGTAGCAGGTCCAGGTTCATCCGCAGAGAGCCGGGGAACAGGATGGGGTCCTGGCCAGGAGGGGCAGCGGGTTAGAGCAGGGTCCCACCATGCCTCCCCTCCCCCCCTGCCACTGGCCTCACCTGGGGGATGACAGTGATCCTGGACCGCAGTGTGTGCAGCCCCATGTGGGTAATGGGGACCTCGTCGATCCAGATCCCGCCCTCAGCCGCCTCCTGGAGACGCAGCAGGCCCCCCGCCAGAGAAGACTTACCGGCCCCGGTCCTGCCAACAATGCCCACCTGCCAGAGGGTGGGAGGTCAAGGCCTGCTCTGACCAGGCCCGGCCAGAGGAAGGCGGGCCACAGCCCAGACAGGTCATGGCCACCACAAGGTACTTCAAAAAGTTCACAGAAAGATTTGTATCATCTTTCAATTCTGTCTTTCCACAAATTTTTCAAAGTACCCTCATATTTGGGAGACATTTCCCCATACCCAAGATCCATCCATCTGTCCATCATCCTTTGAGCACCCATCCTTCCATCTACCCTTCCATCTGTCCACCTTTCCATATATCCATCCATCCATCCATCCAACCTTCCAGTGCATCCTTCGCTGTCTTCCCTTCATCCTGATCTCTCCCATCTTTCCATCTATTTCCCTCCTTCACTCTACACCCCCACACTTCCTTCTGCTCCTCTGTCTTTCCTCACCTTTGTATCCATACTTCTCCATCATCCCTCATTCTTCCGTCTGTCTCTCTGTTCTTCTATCCACCTCCACACCCTATGCACCCACCCCCCACCCGATGCACCCACCTCTCATCCTTTCCTCCACCCCATCCTGGCTATCCATCCATCATCTTTTCTTCCATTCATTCCTCATCTTTCCTTCTATGCATCCATCCACACTTCCTTATTCTTCCTTCCATCTCCATGTTTTGTCCATCCTCCATCCTTCCTCCCATCCTTCTCTCTCTCGCTACTATTGCGTCCTCAGTGTCTGACACATGGGAAGGTTCAACTGTTTAATAAATGAATGAAACGTGGATTACCCCACTGTATGCCAGGTACACTTTTAGGCACCAGGAATAAAGAAATTAGAGTCCTTGCTCTAGAGTGCTCACTGTCTGGTCTTGGAAATAGTGCAACTGGGTAATCTTAATTTTAATATAGTGTGATGAAAAAGCCCCAGATCTGTAGTAATTGAGGTAAGTAAGGAGGTGCTGTTCATGCTGCCTGGGATAGGGCTTGATGGGGTAATCAAGGAAGGCTTCATGGAGGAGGAGATACTTGAGTGGAACCTTAAAGGATGAGTAGGAGTTTGGGGAGGGGGAAGACTCCAGGTAAATCACACCAGGTGGGTTTACGAGACTAGGGAGTTCACTGAGTTTGTAGCACCATGTGCCCACCTGGCCCAGAGGCAGCTACTCTGCAAATGTTGGCTAAGCCCTGGAACAGTAATCAATGAGGGGGTGGGGGTGGGGGTAAGGCCTGCGTTAGGCAGGGCCTTGAATGCCAACTGCAGGAGTTTAGACTTTACCCTGAGGGAAGCTGGGAGCTGGTGGAAGGTTTCAAGCAGGGGAACAATGGGCTCAAAGATCACAAGAGAATAGACCGCAGGTGGTGAGGCTTGAAGCTGGGGGCTCAAGTCGGGAGCCTGGGGCAGTGGAGGAAGGACAGGGAGGGCAGCAGGGAGGAACTGTCTGTAGTGGGGAGAGGGGAAAGAGATTCAACGAAGGGGCCTGACTAGGTATCTGTAAAATGGGGTATTAGTACCTTCTTCATAGGGTTGTTGTGAGAGTAAAAATGCAAATAATAATTAATAAAAGCAGTAGTAAACATCCTGAAGTGCTTACTATGTGCTAGGCACCTTATATGTATTAACTCAAAGTTCACAAAAACTCTATGAGGTCAATATCATTATTCCCATTTTACAGATGGCAAGACTGAGACTGAGACATGAATTGACTTGCCCAAGGTTGCCCATAGCAAAGCCAGGAACCCATCCCATGCAACTGGATAATGTGTATGGAGGAGCATTTAGCATGCTGCCCAGCACGTACTAGGTGTCCAATTAATGTTAGAGAAAGAAGGAAGTTGGAGAGATGCCTCCTCATCTGGGGACATCAAGATGGATGGGGAATGTCACCAGATGGAAGCAGGTTTGGGGAAGATGAGGAGTCCAGTTTAGGGTGTGGTGGGTCTGAAAACTAGGTGACCTGAGGTGGGGACATTGAGGAGGCAGCTGGTGCTCAGGGTCTGGCCTCCATGAGGAAGACGCTGGGGGAGAGCCACTCACCTTCTCTCCAGCATGGATCTTGAAGGATACACCCCGCACGGCCAGTGGGAGCTCGGGTCGGTATCTCAGCCCAAAGCCCTGGAACTCGATCTGCCCCCTGTGAGGCCAGGGGGGCTGGGATGCGCTGGTGGGAAGCCTCCAGGGGGCCTGGAGCAGGAGGGGACACTGAGTCAGAGGAGCCTTCCTCTAGGGCTTCTCACAAGATGGCCCACCTCTCTGAGCCTCAGTTCCCTCTTCTGCAAAATAGGCATATTTATTGCTATTTTATAGAGTTGTTATGTGAATTAAATGAGAGAGGGTATGGCACATAGCAAGGCTAACAAAAATAATGTCTGGAAGCATAAAAATAATGATGCTGTTGGCTCACTTTAATCTCTTTTATTATTAACCACTGTTTATTGTGAAAAATATCCTCTCTTTCTGTAGTAAGAGTGGACGGTCCTTTTTGTCTCTGTGAAAAGGACAGGACTGTATAGTGTGGAGACCAATGGTGCTATTTGCTATTCCTGGGATCTTCAACAGATCTTTCTACTCTCTGGAGCCTTGGTTCCTCCACCTGGGAAATGGGGCTAATAAGAGGAAGGATTTATATTGGATGGTTACAGTAGGCCAGACACTGTACTAAGTCCATTATTGCAGGATCTCATTTGATCCCCCCAGTAAACCCAGTACTATTATGTTCTTGTTCTGTTACTATAATGTTGCTGGCATGTTGCTATCATGTTACTGTATTGTTGCTATCATGTTGCTGATACATTGCTGCTATGCTGCTGTTCTGTTACTGTAGTGTTGCAGTTATGTTGCAGTAATGTTGCTGTCACTCTAATATAATGTTGCTGTTACACTGCCCTGCATTGCTGTTCCTCATGGCCCTCTGTCACTCAGATGGGTGACCTGCCTTGCTCAAGCTAGGAAGCAAAGGAAGCAGGATTTGACTCTGCTCCACACCCCACGCTCTTAACCACTGCTGTCATCTTTGTCTGGCCTACAGTGGTGCGGGCTGAGTGGGGGGAGAAGAGGGTGCCCAGGGCAGATGTCAACCTGGGCCCCACTGCCTTGCCCTGCACATTCCAGCTGGGGCACCCCCCTGCCCCGTCTCCCACCCATCACCTCCTTGGGTATCCGAGCATAGTCTTTCATCCGCTCCACTGACACGATGCTGCTCTCCAGATCTGTCCAGCTGCGGACAGCCCACTGTAGTGTCTGGGTCACCTGGTATGAGAAGACACCTCAGGCTGGATTTGGGGAGGCCACCTGCAGGCTTGCATCAGTCCCCCAAGGCAGCAGGGCCTGGGAGGCCAGACCCCGGGGGAAGAAAGAAGGGACACAAGAATGGGATGGTCTGAGGACCAGGGTCCAAGGGGATGGGATTTGGCTTCAGTCAACAGGAGCCCTCCCTTCCTTCAGTAAAACCAGAGTATTCGGAGCAGATAGGAAAACTTCTTGATACTGGTGGGGAGACAAGACCAGAGAGGGCACCTGGGCCTCCCAAGGACACCCAGCAGGACCCAGGCCTGCTGATTCTGTTCTGACAGTGTCCCCGTAGGGGCTAGACAACCACTGATTTCCCATTGTATTTGGAACTGCTCCAAGCTCCTCACCAGGGCCTGTGAGCCCCAGCCCTGTCCTCTCCCCACCTTGTTCCCTCCACTCCCACCCTCACCCACCCTCGCCAGCCACACCCACCTTCTTGCTCCTCCTCTAACACCCCCAGGGCCCTTCTTCCTGCTGTTCCTTCTGCCTGGAGTGCCCTCTCCCTGGTCCCCTCCCTCACTTCCTTCAGGCCACAGCTCATAGGTCACCTCCTCAGAGAGACCTTCCCAGGCTGCACAGTAGAAAAATACCACGCCCTGTCCCGCCCCGTCCTCTTACTTTATCCTTAAGCTTAGTTGCTGTGGTTGTCTCAGCTGTAAAACAAGGACAGTAATAGTACCTCCCTGATGGCCATGAGCAGGATGAAATGAGTTAATATTTATACAGCTCCGAGAACGATGCCTCATTCATAATGATGCTACTTACACGTATATATACATATGTAGATGTCATGCCCTGACATGACATGCTGTTCTCCATAGTGAATACAAAGTTAACCATGCACCAGAAGTGTGCTGTATATACTTTGTCTCAACTAGTCTCTATAACATCAGAAGTGATGGGATTGTTCGCCCGTTTTTCAGATGAGCACACCGAGACTCCGAGAAGGAGGATTCTTGCCCAAGTCCTGGCAAGATTCCCTCAGCTAAGTCAGCTCTTGTAGAGCTGTGTTTTCCTCACTGGTTGGTAGTTTGGACTTGGGTGTCCTTGAAGGTCCTGCTGGCAGGGGTCTGTCTCCAGTTTTGCCTACACCCCTGAGCCCAGGTTGGGGGTGCTGGGAGTACCTGAAGGGCGGCGGAGACAGAGAAGCCCACGAGGCCGGCGCTGAGGTGGGCCTTGCTCAGCACTGCACATGTGGCAGCTGTCAACACCAGGCCATTCCCCAGGAGCTCCAGGTTGGCAGCGAGCCACCTGCGAAGGGAGGCAGGTAACAGTGGGTTGGTGGGTGCCCTTGTTTTCTGGGACCTGCTTCTCTGGGTACAATAACAGGTCACGTGCTAGCTCTGTACCCATGGGGGTCCCAGCAGTAGTCTTGTCTACATCCAAGACCCCACCCAAACTCGGTGGCTGGGAGAAGGTGACGTTGTTCCGTGTCACATGAGCCCAGCTCAGGTCCTGGCACACCCAATGCTTGATAGAGCTTTACTGTGCTGCTGCTTTTCTGTCCCTGGGATATAGCAAGCCATGTCCTCTCACAGTTGCCCCAGCCTGAACCCTGACCTCCATCTTCATGTTGGCAACATGTCCATGTACAAGTTGGCTCGAACATCACCTCCTCTCAGAGCCCTCCTTGATTGCACCTCCTTTTTCTTGCTAACGTCACAGATGATGTCCTTCACAATGGTCATCAATCTATAACTAAACAGTTGAGTCAGTTGTTGACTATGGGTCTCCATCAGATCGTGAGCTCCACAGGGACAGTGACCTTGACTCTCCTTCTTGGCTCCCCCCTAGTACTTAGCACAGGATTCAGCATATAGTAGGTGCTCAACAAATACATCTTGAATGGTTGAATAAACAAGCACTCCTCTTGTTGAATTCCTACTCTACCATCCATTCATTCAATAGATATGCACTGAACACCTACTGTGTGACAAGCATGTTTGAGGTGCTAGGGACATAGCTGTGAACCAAAAAGATAAAAATCATTGTCCTCAGGGAGCTCTGAGCTTTAAAATATAACATCTAGTCCTCCTAACATGGTGGGTGGAGGGAATTGTTTTTCCCATTTGACAGATGAGAAAACTGAGGCTAAGACTGTTAGGCACTTGCCTAAGTCACACATGTAACAAACGTCAGGATTCGAAGCCATATTTCCCTGACTGATGCAAGAAAGCACACACCCTTTCCAAAAGCTGTGTTTCAGTGAACAAACTAATGAATGAATAAATGATCAACAACCCACCTAGGGTCTGTCACTTCGTAGCTGGCTAACCTTGGGAGATTCCCTTCACTTTTAACCCCAGTTTACCCATCTGTATAACGAAGTAATACATGGCCGATTACAGTTGAGAGAATTAAACAAGATATACCATGTACAGCACGAAAATAATAAAGCTTTGCACACAGTAGGTGCTTTCTAAATGTCTGTAAGGTCCCTCCTTCCTAGGCCAGGATACAAGGAAGGGGCAGGTCAGGTCTCCCAGTGAACATGTGGAATTGAGATACTGTCCACAGTTACAGAGCCTGACAGCCCCAGCTGGCTGGGGACCTGGGAAGAAAGGAGAAAGGAATTCACATTTATTGAGTACCTACTGTGTGCTTGACTCCATACTCTGATACTAGACTGCCTGGATTCGAATCCTGGCTCCATTATCTAGGTATTAGCTGTGTAACCTTGGGCAAGCTTCCAAACCTCTCTGTCCCTACGGTTCATCATCTACAAAACAGTCTCTGCCTCATGGGGTTGTTAATAGGATTAAATAAATTAATCCACATAGATTGCTCAGAACAGTGCCGGGCATGTAGTAAGCATGTTACAAGTATTACCTATGAATGTATTTTTTAAATCTTCATAGTCACTTTATAAGTATGATCCCGGTTTGACAAATGAGGCTCAGAGAGGTTAAGTAACTTGCTCTACATCAGTCAGCCTGGTAAGTGGTAGAGCTAGAATTTGAACCTGTGTCTATCTGTGCCCAAAGCTTGTGTTCTTGTTTAGTACTGGAAGGAGGCTAAGAATGCTTACATAGCTGCTCTGTCCCCAAGGCAATAGAGGCTGGTCCAGTTGCCTGGCAACAGAAGCTGCTTCTTGAGCTCCACTCATCTGCCCTTGGGGATCTCTCAGGCCAAGTTCCACCTGCTCACAGTGCGAGCCGAGAGACTGCCTGTTGGATCTAGCCTCAGCTTTGTCCCCCCACTTGCCGTGTGACCTTGGGCAGATCACTTGACCTCTCTAGCCACACATTATGACCTCAGGCCTCACCCGCACTGACCCCAGGCTCTTCCTACCTGTCGGCCACCAGTCGCGGGAAACTGACCCTCTGGCTTTCATCCACGTGAATGTCGTTCTGAGCCACAAAGTGTCCCTGGGCTTGGAACGCCCTGACCACTGTGCTGCCCTGGAATGTCTCAGCCATGTGGGAGCAGATGGATGAGAATCTGGCTGACTCCAGGCGTCTCAACTGGCATGAGCTGGCCACATATAGGCTCTGAGGCAGTATGGGTGGGAGAAGGGAGGGAAGAGAAGCCTCAGACACAGAGAGATGGTTTCCAGAAGGACAGGGAGCCCCAAGTACAGGGTTCTAGACCAGGTTCTGTTATTGGCTTACTGTGTGACCTTGGGCCAGTTGCTTGCTCTCTCTGCACTCCAATTTCCTTGCAGAATCAGAGTTCCATGGTTCTTTTGAAAATCATCTGAAGAGCTTCAAAAACTTACATTGCCCTACTCCAGAACTACTGAATCAGAATCTCTGGTGATGTCATCTTGGCTTTGGTATTTTTAAAAGGCCTTTCAGGTGATTCTAATGTATAGCTAGGGCTGAAAAACCACCAACCTAGTGTAAATGTCTCATTGCCCAGCACCAAGGCCAACTATTTCACTTAGGACTAGTCATGGGGAACAAAATTGTAATGGGTAACGGAGGTAGTTGGCCAAATCAGGTTCACTCATGTAATCCAAGGGTTACACCAGGTGGCAGGTGACACACAAATAATATGTGTTATTTGGCTTTAGGTTGCAAGTCGTGTGCAGGAAAGCAGGCAGGGAGGAACCTGCATTTGCTGAATACCCAAGCTGTGCACGAGGCTCTTTCCAAAAAGCGTTTCACTCATGTTAGGATGGGCATTAGTGTCATTCATAGTTTACGGGTGAGAACACCTGAGGCTTGGTCTGAGCTCTAAGTAGCTGGTCTGAGCTCTACAGCCAGTGGCAGGGCCTGGGTTCAAACCTATCTCTGCTGACTCCAGAGCTCACAGAAGCAGCCCATCCCCAGAGTCAGGAGGACTTAGAGAAGACTGGGATAGCTGTGGAGGACAGTGGTGGCCATGGCTTTTGTCTGACTACCACGTTTTCTTTTCACTCTACTTCTGATTTCCTGGGGAAAGGTCTGGGTGGGGGGTATTGTTAATCATGGGACCTGATCATAGAGGTGGTCCCATGACCTAGTCTAGTCCATCAGAGTACTCTGTCCATTTGGTCACTGTGATTAATTCAGGAATAGGCACATGACTCATAAAGGGCCAATCAGAACCTTCCCTGGGATTGATATAATACTGAGCCAGAGAAAAGTCTTCTTTGTATTGGGTTTGCTAAGGAGGAACGATGTGAGTATAGAGTTGCTGGTGGCCATCAGACCTGCCCCCCATTAAGAAAGCATGTGCAAATTTAGGCTAAGCAGAGCTGAATCAGTGATTCTCAAACATTAGCACTCATCAGAATTACTTAGAGGGTTTGTTAAAGCCCAGATTGCTGGGCCCCACCTCCATAGTGTCTGAGTCAGTAGGTCTGGGCTGGGGTCCAAGAATTTGCATCTACAGCTCCTGGGTGATACTGCTGCTGGTCCTGGGACCACACTTTGAGAACCACTGAGTGAAGATATGGAGAGAGTAACAGTGTCTTGGTGACAACTGGGCCCACTGCATCTAGGAATGCAAGCCATCCTTTTTTTTCTTTTTTTTGGTGACTGGCCTATATGGGAATCCAAACCCTTGACCATTAGTTTTACAAGCCGTTCAATTTCATTCTTTTGTTTAAGCTCATTTAAGTTGGTCTCTGGCCCTGGCAAGTGAAAGAATCTGGCTTAAAACAATAGTCTTTGAGACATGGCAATGCTTTCCTGGTTTCCAGATCATTGTAGAAGAGGCAGCCACAGCAGGACAAGATGCTAGTTATAAAGAACATTTGGAAGATGGAGACTAGTGTAGATACTAGAAACAGACTGTGGTGTCTCCACCCTTGGGGATTCTTCTAGGGGCAGCCCCCAGATGCTCAGCTGGGCAGAACCTCTTATTCTGAGTTCTGCCTAGAGACAGAGGCCTGGCTGGGGTGACTTTGAATGGCCCCAGGAGCCTCCCAGCCTCTCCCTACCTGAAACCCAATGTAGAGGAGCAGCAGTGGCAGGATGGCCACAATAGCCAGAGGGGTGGCCATTGTCACTACCAGGATGACCTCTAGGAGTCCAAAAGCATAAATCAGCAAGGACCGGAATTTGTCTGGGATGTCCACATCCACTGTGTCTGTCTCCTTGGAGAGGCGATTCAGAAGGTTCCCGATGGGCGTCCGCTCAAAGAAGCTGATGGGAGACCGTACCACGTCCCACAGAAGCTTCTGGAAGAGCAGGCTGGATGCTTGGACACCACCTAGGAGCACCGTGGCCATGGAGGCAAACAGCCCAATGGCTAGGGAGGGAGAAAGCATCATAGCATGAGGGCTGGAGTCTCCCTGGGGAGCCTTGGGCAGATCTCCCCAACCACCTTGGTGGCCACCCTGATTGATTATCCCTTGATGGACCCACCCTCTTGGGGGTTGAATAGTGTCTCCCAAAATTCTTGTCCATCAAGAACCTCAGAATATGACCCTATTTGGAAATGGTCTTTGCAGATGTAACTAGTTAATGATCTTGAGATGAAATCTTCCTAGATTTAGGATGGGACCTAAATGCAATGGCTGGTATTCTTATAAGAAGAAGGGAGGACACAGAGATACAGAAGAGAAGATGTGAAGACAGAGGCAGAGATTGGAGTGATGTGTCCACAAGCCAAGGAATGCCAAGGGTTGCCGGCAGCCACTGGGAGCTAGGAGGGAGCCATGGGGTGGTTTCTTCCCTAGAGGCTCCACAAGGAACCAAGCCTGCTAACACCTTGATTTCAGACTTCTTGCCACAGAACTGTGAGAGAATAAATTTCTGTTGTTCTAGGCTACCAAGTTTGTGGCAATTTGTTGTACTAGGAAACTAATACATGAGGGTACTTCAAAAAGTCCATGGAAAGTTTCATATTATCATTAGTTCTATTTTTCCATGAATTTTTTAAAGTACCCCCATACACCCTTCCTCCCAGTGCTAATCTACGTGCTTGAGAAGGGGCTAATTTCATTTATCTTTTGACTCTGGTGTGGGGCAAATTTCATCCCTGGCCAATCTGAACCACTGCGGTTGGTTCAGGGATAAACGTATGACCCAAGTCAGGCCAATGAGAGTGAGACCTGGGTTTTTGCTAGAACTTTTGGGAAAGAGGTACTTGCTTTTTTGAGGTGGCCAAGCTGGAACTGTGGAATATCACCTTGCCACCAGCAGGGTAGCCTGCCTGGACAAGAAGCTGCCACAGAGGAAGGAAATGAAGTAACTTCTGACAGCCTTGTTTGGACCCCTGGATCCAGCCATACCTGAAGCTAGTTATCTACAGATACCAGTCCCATGAGTCAATAAAGTCTCCTGTTGCTTAAACCAGTTTGAATTGGAGCTGAATTTTCTGTTCTTTGTATTCAAAAGAACCATAACTAATCAGTCTCTCTGGGCTTCAGTCTCCCCATCTTTAGAATGGGGATAGTAAGACCTGCTCTTCAGTATCAGATGAGGAACGATGTGGATGAATTTTGAGAGGGGAATGTGCCATCTGAATGGGGATTTGTGTTAATTTCATGATTCGGCTAACTCTGACAAATCATTTTCTAATTCCTCTTGATTAAGTAACTGCTTATCTTGAGTCTCCACTATATGCCCAGCTCTGGTGAGCAGGTCTATAGATTCTCAGGACTAGAAGGGTTCATGTCTGATGTCTCCATTTTACAGAGGACACAGGCTCATAGCATTTTGATGATGTGGCCCAGGTCCTCTAATGAATCAGGCTGAGTCAACTCTAAAACAGTGCAATCGCCCTTTAAAGATGAGGTTAAACTCACACGTTCACCCCCGTTATTCCCTTCAGCCAGGCCATGTTTTAAAGCGGGAGAAGGATTAGGGGTGAGGAAAGGGAGACAGGAGGATGCTGGATGTCCTTATAAAAGGGCAACATGAGGGATCCTTGTGGGGATGAGACTTTGTTCAGTATCTCAGCTGTGAGGGTGGATGCAGGAACAGAACCTGCACAGGTGATAAAATTGCATAGAAGCAAACACTCACACACATGCAAGTAAAACGGGAAATCTGAATAAGATCAATGGTTGATCAAGATCAATATCCTTGTCAAGATACGGAACCAACCTAAATGTCCATCGACAGATGACTGGATAAGGAAACTGTGGTATCTATACACCATGGAATACTACTCTGCCATAAAAAAGAATGAAATTCTGCCATTCACAGCCACATGGATGAGCATGGAGAATATTATGCTGAGTGAAATAAGCCAGGCACAGAAAGAAAAATATCACATGTCCTCACTCAGAAGTGGGAGCTAAGAGAGAAAGAAGGGAGGAAAGGAAGACCACAGTGGTGCGCTGGACTTGCAGAGGGAGGGGACAGACGAGTGGGGTGGGAAGAGGGGGAGGGAGATGAAGGCCGGGGATTAATTGGGTGTGGGACACAGAGAATAATCACAATTTGTGGTAATGAACATGCCGATAGTATTGATCTGGCCATCACACCTTGGGCACAAGTGGTGACAGCCAGCTTTGTACCCCATGAATATCCATAACCAATAATAATAATAAAAACGTCCTTGTGAAACTGTACTATCATTTTGCAATATTGTTACCATTGGGCGAAACTGGGCAGAGTCTACAATGAGTTCTCTGCATTATCTGTTGCAATGCATGTGAATCTACAATTATTCCAATAAATAATTCAATTAAAAAAAAAA